CTCTTGTAATCTGGCGGCCAGAAAAAATTAACAAGTATCTGTTTGGTTAATTCTAACTGGTTTGGGAAATTATGATCCTACCATTTACTGTACCCCCAAATGGCTGTCAACTCCAGCTACCACAGATGTAACCTCTTACTATGACGCAGAAAAACTGAAAAAGCTTCATAGAAGAAAGCAGCATCCCAAGCTGTTGCCCATATTTTTGCTAAGTAATTAAGCCCCAATAAACATTTCCCAATTTTCATTTTGGCTTTATGCTAAAGAAATTTCCAATATTTTGTTGGTTTAAGACTATAAAAGTCTGAAATACAGAAAATTCTATTTTTTAAGAGTTCAGATCTTATGATCTGGTCAGAAGACAAGGCCTAAATGTTTAAATCTATTTAAATTTATGTAAATCAATCTTTTAAAGTATGCATAAATGTACATGTATTCTTATTTGAATTTCATAGTACTGAAATGATCTGCATTGCATCTTCTGTGAATTTGTCTTGCAAGGCTTTTGTATAAAATATGAGGCAATGATTGGGTTGAACCATGAAGTGTGATCAGTTGGCTTTGGAGGTGTAGTTGCCGTGGTAGTCTTTTCCAAGTATCTAGTTTTCTGACTGGGGTATTTTGTAAGGCTGAAAGAACTGCTAAACTACAGGTATTTTGTATAAAGTTTTTGCTCTGATTATTAAACGTAATCAGAAGGGATGGTATGGAGTGAGAAAGATATAACAAGTGCATGGAAGGAAAATAAAATCAAGCTAAAAGTGATAGTGATTGCAAGCTAATTATTGTACTCAGTTCATGTAATTAGTTTTGTAAAGTCTAAAACTAAAGTGTTGAAGTTTGTTTATATCTTCAGGGGACTGTTTTAAAAGAATTACATCTGCTAGAGAGGAAACCAATGTTTTTACTCGAGAAGTATTTAACTTTTTATTGGGACTGGTATCTTTAATCTACTCCAACTCTAGGTATGCAAGTTCCTTGTTTGCTAGCAAGTGTTGATCAACCTAATTTGTTTTCTTGTGCAAGTCAGTCTTTCTAGATGTGTTCTGGGCTATAACTATGTTTTTAATGCAAACTCTTTTTTGCCTCTGAAAATGAAGAGCTGCATAGAATTCAATATTCTTTGAGAAGTCACACCAGACTAGAGATAGTAGGGTAAGAGTTAATTTGGTAGACAATACCTCTACAGAGGAAAACACTTTCTCAGTGTCTATCTTAAATTGTTTTATAAATCAGGTTTGTGTAGTATTCATCTAAAAAGGGCATGCCAAACACAGTTCATTCAATACGCGATGCAAAACTGGGGTACGTCACTGCTATATTTATAACAAAAGCTGTATCAGAGACTGTCGTAATTTAAATACGGTGTATCATCGTGTAGGTGCTTAGTTTGTGCCGAGTCTTAAGCAGAGAAATTCTAGCAGTCCCTGCTTAAAGCCCAGCTGCCTCTGATTGCTGCAGATTTTCCGAAAAGAGGTGGCCTGTAAGACACACAAGTGCCAAATTGTAAAGGTCAAAGCCAAGACGTTCACATTCAGTGAGAAAATGGAGTTGTACTGATTATGGAGCAAAAGAGCAATGCACGCTCGATAGAAAGTCCTCGTAACTGGGCAGCTATATTCAAGTCTAGCAGCCAGTCTTCAGGTGGCTTTGCCTAGTGTAGTGTTTGCTGTATTAGTTTCACTTCTGGGGTAGCAAAAGCATAGACTGCTTGGGTCAAATCTTCATTCAAATTTAGCAACATTAAGTGAAACTGAAGAAAGCTTTCTTGCCAGCTGCATTCAGGAGAGCACTGAATGCCACACACACTTTGTTTTACCTACAAATTTAAAGTCTGAAAATTCTGAATCACTTGGAGCCGTTTTCATTGGACTTTCTTTCTTTTGAACGTCTTTATTTAAATATAAATAACAGCAGCAGGTCTGTGACTCATAGCAAAACACAACACATGCCATTCTTTTTCGCTCATGCTTATTGTTTTTGATGAGCATTTTTTTTCGTAGTTCAGTATGTGAGCATAGAAATCTGTTTATCTGTTTACCTGTCCACTTTTTGGACCCTTTCTTCTAATATTTACTCATTGTATATAGTAACCAAAAGCTTGGTGCCTCCATTGTAAGATGATAATCACCGATACCAGCAGACACCACTGATAAGTAGCTCAGATACAGTTGTTGGATAATAAGAGCCCGTTATTCACGAGCCTATATTCTCACTGCTCAAAATCATTAATTAATCAAATGAACATATTCATATGCAGCAAATGCTCTTGCCTCCATCCTGAAATCAATACTGTATGAGGGTATGATCTATTTGGTGAACGTAATTTATGAAAACAAAATAACAACCTTAACAGTTATTTGTAATTTGTATATCTTATTCACTCCTTGGGTTTTTTCTTTATTAAAAAAAAAACCCCAGCCTTCTAAATTAATCTGTTCTTTTTCTTTCTTGTGCCTTTATCCTTTCCAAGGTTATGCCTTTCTGCTGTTCCAGGAAGAAAGCTCTGTACAAGCTCTGATAGATGCCTGTCTGGAAGAAGATGGGAAACTTTACCTGTGTGTGTCAAGTCCCACAATCAAGGATAAACCAGTAAGTAGCTTAGGCTGTGACACTTATACTGGTTGCTAACCCATTTGCTGTTACTCTTTTCAGTTAATAAATAAATAAATAAACAAATGCTTACAGTTAATTGACTTGTCCATTTCCTGTTACTGTCTGTCCTTGCTGTTACACTGAGTTGACTTTCTGTATTAGCATAACATGGTTTTAATATTTGCTTCTTTCTGATAAATGCCATGTTCAATTAATTTTTTATTTGGTACTTCTGGTATCTCTCAGGAATGTGCATCCTTTTACAATGTAAAACAATGGGATTATAATTTTCCCCTCTATATTATTGGAAAGAAAAGAAAGCCTTATGCAATGAAATGAAGAAACTTAACCCACCCAAATTAAAATCCAGATAGGTTCAAATATCCCCTGTACTTTATTAGGTTTCTTTATTATTTTTTCTGCATGCAACAGCTAGTCAATTTATAATTTAGGTCTCATTTACCTGTATAAACGGCAGGGCAAAAACAAGTAATGCAGAATAGAAGACATACGGTAACCTGTTTCTATGGTTCACACCTCTAACATTCTTTAATGCTAGTCTTTTTTGTGGCTACGGATACATACCAATTAGATGAAAATGACAGAAAAATATGGTTAGATAAAAAACATGCTGCCTTTTAAAAATACCATTTAAAAACTTGCACAGATAAATGAACAACCCAATATTACAGCACAGTGAGCATGCTTACATGATTTCTAGAATCAAAAAAACAGATGAATGAACAGCTTTATCCAAATAACTTCTGAGCAGCTGGGTTTTTTCTGTGTAATCTGAAGATTTCTTATCAACTGTATTGCTTGCTGCTTAACAAAAGTGAGTATTCATAGATTATAAAGACTCCTTTTGTATCCAAGCACAGAAATTAATTTTATCTCCACTCCTGTCAGTGCTTTAAAATTTGTGGATCACTGTATGTAATTTCAGGAAAGCCAGAAGCCCAAACTGCAACTGTAATTGTGCATATGTGGTAAAATCTTCTGAAAGTCCTTTCACAGTTTTCTTATAATGGTGATTAGAGGTAGGGAATTAATGAGGTAGGAGTTTGCTATGATGAAATTTAACTCAAGCCTGGCCTCTAGAGGTGATAAATGAATTTTCTTTCAAACGCTTGGATAAGTTATGTTCTCAAATTGTTTTGGTTCTTATAATACCTGCTTTTCTAAGTTAAAACTGTATTTTTAATTATAGAAAGATTCAGCAGTTGTTTCTTAATTTTGAGTTGTCAAGTTCCTCTACTAAAAACAATCCTTAATACAGGTGCAAATTCGACCTTGGAACCTAAGTGACAGTGACTTTGTGATGGATGGGTCTCAGCCTTTGGATCCAAGAAAAACTATCTTTGTTGGCGGAGTTCCACGGCCCCTCCGAGCTGGTGAGTAGAAGGAAAATGTAGGCCATGTAGTAGGGGGTTCCAGATTAAGCAGAAAAGATAAGCAAAGATATATAGTATATGTAAAAGAGCAGAAAATATACCCTGTCTTTTCTGAAGATTGTAGCTCACTTTCAGTCAGTGACTGTCTTCCTGTCTACAAAATACAAACTGTGAACCTTTTTTCATCTTTTAAACAGGTTACTAATTAGGATTTTCAGTAGAAAGTTTTTCCCCAAGTTTGCTTAATATCCTAGAATTTGGCTGATTTTTTTGTAGTGTATACCATCTTAATCCTAAACCTGGTTGCTTGCTGAGATGCGGAGAAGTTCCCCTTTCCTTTGATTAGAAGAGAAACTTCTCCCAGCCTCTTTCCAAACTGCAGCCTAGGTCTCTTGGTGGCCCCACACTGTACTGAAGACCACTTTCCAGACCCACTCCTAATATAACTCTTTTTTCTCAATCTTTTTCTTCACCCTCAACTCCTTTCTTCACTTTTATTTGTAGAGCCGTAGACAAGACTCCTTAGCCTTTGGCCAGAGGAAAGATTTTTCCCAGCCCAGATCTCCTGGTAGCTCCACCCGAAAAGGCCCCTGTTCAGCACCGCTCCCAACTGTAGCTTGACACTCTTTTCTTTCTTCCTAATCCTTGTATTTTTGATGAGCTAATGACAAAGTCGTGAAGCAAGTGTAAACATTTCTCATAGCTAAGTCTTTTGGCAGCCCTCCCTTCTGTTCAGCAGCCCCTCTCCATCCTTGCTCCAAGTCAGCTGCATAGTTTCTCTTTTTCATCCTCTCAACCCTAACCCTAATTTTTCAGGGCTATAGTAGACAAGTCCTCTCAGTCATTGTCTGGAAGAAAAACTTCAGAATGTTGTTTCCTGGTAGCCCTCCCTTTCCTTTGGCAGCTACTTTCCAGCCCACTAGAACTTCAGCTCCTTGCTTTATCTTTCTCCTAATCCTAATTCTTTTGGGAAGCTATACGCAATGCCCCCCAGCCATGGCTGACAGCAAGATTTCTCCCAGCCCAGGTTTCTTGGCAGATTTCATTTTCCTCACCATCCTAAAATAAGGCATAATTGTAAGACTGTAATTATGTAAATACTAACAATTAAATATTACCTCATTTCTAATTATAGCCTTTATAAAACTGTATGCCATTTGACCTGTCATAGATTACATTTGAAATGTGTTAGATTTGAAAACAGATGCCTTTATATAGGTAAATTCTCCAAAGAAGACAAATATTTTCCAGGTTTTCTTGTTTGCAACTTTAAAGGTCTGATACAGAAGTTTTCCTAAGATATCTGAACACTGCGTGGTTTCCTTGCCCTGGAATCCCATATATTCTTTGTCTATTGGCAAGAGTAACTTACTGGAACTACTATTGTAAATGTTTTTAAATGGTCCTGATGTTTATTCTGCACTGTCACTTTCTGAGATCATTACCCAAAAGATGATCCCAAATCGTTAGAAAGCAGAGGAATCTACTAGTCACTACATTATGCATAGTTTTCCCTTCCCATTTGGAGCAAGAGTGTTATCTGGTTTGGTAGAATGAATCAGACATTTTTTTTGCTCATTGCAAATGGACAAATTAGCATATGGTCTTCTCTTCATGTGACACACACATTTATACAAACACACATACCTACTCTATTTAAAAGTTGTCTCTATTCTATATATAATTAACCAGTGAGAATTTTGTGAGAACTAATAAGGATTTAAATATTTAGTGCATCTTTTTCATTTTATCTTGGATAGCTAAATTTTAAATTGCTACTGAAAGTGTTTTCACATATTAGCATAAAAAAATGGCTGACTTGGCGGGGCCTGTACAGGTCCCAGTATCTTCCTTTGTGAGGGTCTGTCCCTCATCCGTCTGACAAATTTGCCTCTCAACTTTTACAGAGAACTTGGCTTGGTAACCATACATCTTTGCATGGTTTACATGCCTCTTTTCCATTTCCGTGGGCCTCTTCTCCGCTTCCTTCAGTTCTTTCCCTTAACTTTCCTCCTGTATGTTTCCTCAGCCATGCACTCAGCCTGTCTTATAAAAATAATTCATAAAAGAACTTGTTTAGATTTATTCTTACTGTCAGAAAAAGCAGTAAACCATTTTAAAAGATCCACAATCAAGTTAATGTTCTACGAAAGTACTAAGTTAAGTTGTACCAGAAAAGTAGGCTTGCTTTAAGTGTAATAACTTCTGATGTTTCACAAAATTTTGTTTCATATGTAAAACACTTCCTTAATGTCTTCTCAACCTTAGTACTTAGGGCAAAATATTAGATTCTAAATATAGGAATATCTTTAAGTGATCTTTTATGTAAACTAGCCTTAACAAGCCTGGCTGGAGCTTGGGGAGATCCTGAATACCTAATCCCAAATAGCAGTTTTAATTTACAGTATGATAAATTCTAGAACAGGTGACCTGATACCTCCTTTAACAATGTAGCTGCATTTCTTTCACACTTCAGTCACACCAAGTTTCTTTTTACAGATTCTGGTTTCTGCCTTTATATTTTATGGTAATTCATCTAAGGTTGACTCAATCTGTTAAAACCGATGCTTGAGTTTGCTATTTAAACTTTGGAAGACAAGTACGCTAAGGCAAATAGTGCTTTTTTTAATGCAACAAACCATATGCAACACTATTATTTACATTAAATCTATAATATTTAACAATTGACTTCTTGCAGTTGAATTGGCAATGATAATGGACCGTTTATATGGAGGTGTCTGCTATGCTGGCATTGATACAGACCCAGAGTTGAAGTATCCAAAAGGTGCTGGCAGAGTGGCTTTCTCCAATCAGCAGAGCTATATTGCTGCTATCAGTGCTCGCTTTGTCCAGCTTCAACATAATGACATTGATAAACGGGTAAGTGAAATAGCATGGAACAGAATGGTTGTTACTCACAAAACTGTACAGAAATTAAAAACATCCTTATATTAATATTGTATTGGAGAACACTGCAACCTCTGTTCTTCGGATGACATTTGTAATTTATATGAAAGCTTATTTAAGCAGCTAAAGCAGAGTGAAAGAAAAAATCTTGAACATCTTAAATAACTGTTTAGCACTAAAACCGGAAAATAGTTGCTTGTTTTTTGTTCTTGGTTTTGTTTTGAATTCTGAAGGTCAGACACTGTAGAATTAGCCAGCTTCTTTCTCCTCCTTTAGATGTTTGCTCATTGTGCATCAACAGCTTTTAGTTAGTGGCTACTTACATAGCTTCTGGCATTTCTGCTGTTATTAGGCAGAATTGTCCTCTTGGCAAGGTACATCTAGACTTGAGGTTCCTAAAACACAGGTTTACCATAAGTATAATGGGTAATGCTGACCTCAGAAGTCTGGGGAATTATTTAACTGAAACCAAATGCCAATAGACGCTTAATAGGCAAAAGGGGGAAAATGAGATGGTTTTTTTAAAATCCATATGAACATTAAAAAAAATTACTTCATTTCCAAGATTTTTTTTTCTTTTAGACCTTCTGTCTTCACCTCTTGATTACATGTACAAGAACAGCTATGTTTTTGAGGACTTGGCATTTAGAATTATTCAAAAGAACGTACAGCATACACTGCTGCTATGTATTTTTACAATAGGCATGGCTTGTTTTCTACTTAATCTAATATAAATTGTTTCTGAAGAAGTCAGCTTGACAGGTTTTGTGCATGTCTATTATGTGCAGTATACATACAAAAACATACAGCTACAAAGTCCAAGCTATTATTACTTTCTCTTTAAAAATCTGAACTGAATTTTTTGTCAGATTAGATGAGGTCATGAAGTTTTAAGTCCTGAAACTATTTTTCTATGGTGCTACTATACCCCATGATTTTAACTAAGACAAGGTTGTTCCTAAATATTTCTTGCCCATTGAATTGTGAAAAATTTGACAAAGACACCAAGAAGATTAATTTGGGGGTCTTAATCATAATGTTGAGCCCTCTGAGATTTATGTCAGCCATGCTTAAAAACTTGCGTTTTTTTCTAAGCTTTAGGATAGAGCCACAAGTGATGCTAGCTGGTCGTTTTTTCCATCAATCGGTACTTTTACTAGTTGGTTGGTCAATTATTTAAGGTTACTTAATTATCTTTTATCTGTTTTTAAAATGGATTTATCTGTATGATGTATGAAGTCTCTTAATCAGTCTTTAAATATTAGTTTTTAAATGTAATAGATTGAAATCCCTGAATTGTACAGCATACATTCTTAAAATTATTTCACTAGTAACCAAAACTGGAAGTGTGAGAGAGAATCTATTTCAGACCTTCACAATTCATGCTTTGGAAATGTGAGTAGGTGGGGATCTAGAGACATGCTGGACATTGGACCTGCTTTCTTCTAATTTCATTTGAGATGGTGCTTTTTTATTTTACATGATGCTTCTAATTTTAGTGGTAGGGCATCTGATATGCGAAATGGCAGTTATTCAGACTTGTTCTATGCAATACTAGTAGTACAATGTAATTAAAAAAAATAAAACTGGCAGTTACAGCTGTTCCGTTGGCAAGAAATATAGTTCACTATATAAGCTTTACTTCAGTGAGTAACATTTGTTGTAATGTGATCAGGATAAGCTGAAGTAAAACTCACACAGGAGAAACTCGCATGTTGTCAACTGCTGTAATAGTACTGTTGCAAGTGCCCAGTCATGTATCAAAGTACTACTGTGTTTGGCACAAGTGCTTTAAACCCAAAAAGAATTCCTAAGATATTTACAACTGAGTGTAGGACAAAACTCAGCAGCTCTCTGGCCTATTTCTAGTTGGTGGCAAGGCCATAGTTGGAACAACTATGAAATGTTACTACATTCCTAGAGCTAAAAACCTTTAGATAGTGGCAGAGTATTTGATACAAGTGCCTTTAGTCTTGTTTAATTTGAATCTTCTCTTCCTTTATTAGTCTGGTCTTGTATTTTGCAGTTCACAAAAAACCCAACCAACCAGCCAAACACAAATGTCTCTGGAAAAAACCCTCTGAAACTCACCAGACCTCTGAAGTTTAGAATTGTAATTTTGTTCTTGATCATTTTTCTTCCTAAATGCTGCCCTCTCACGCCCTGCCCCCGTAACAACTGTATTCACATCCCTGGAGGTTTCTTAGACAGCAGCAAAATCCTTGGAGATGCTATTTTTACTATACTTCCGTCTTAGTACTTTCACATACCGAACTTTTCCAAGAAATGTTGAATAGTTACCAAAGCACACCCTTCTTCCTTGAAATTTTCTGACAAGTAAAGTGGTTGGTATGAAAATTTAACTACCAGCCTCTTTGGGTTAATCCAGCATCACTTGAGAACCTTCAATAGAGTCAGAAGAATTAAAATATTGTTCCTTCTGTTCGTATTTAGCAAAACTACGTGATCTTCTTACTGTTATTTTTCTTCTTCCTGGTACAGGTGGAAGTGAAGCCATATGTGCTGGATGATCAGATGTGTGATGAATGCCAGGGCACTCGCTGTGGTGGAAAATTTGCTCCATTCTTTTGTGCCAATGTTACCTGTTTGCAGTATTACTGTGAATACTGCTGGGCGAGCATACACTCTCGTGCTGGGCGAGAGTTCCACAAACCACTGGTAAAGGAAGGAGGTGACCGACCCCGCCACGTCCCATTCCGCTGGAGCTGAACCCCAGGCCTCACCCAGCAACAAGTACTGGAGTAAATAAAATCGAGTGAAAAGAGAGCGCTGCCTCAGGGCTTAGTGTTCTGGAAATCTGTGCATTCGTCCTCGACTTTAATGAAGATATGGGTCTTTTTATTACTATTATTATTATTTACAGTCACATTACTGAACTCAGTGTCCAGTATAATACAAACCGGCAGAGTGTAACTGTACTGATTTTGCACTTTGATTCACACAAACATCTGCTTGGTACCTTAATTTCCTACACAAGACTTGTCACTAGTGACATTATGTAGACTGCCATTCTCATCAGCCTTCACTGGTTGATGTGTATGTGATGAAGATTTTTTTATTATAATTATAATTATTTTTATTTTTGAACTGGAGCATGCACTTATTTTCAGAAATTTAGACTTGCCCCTAGCAGATGACTTACCAAAGGTAATATTCACAAGTAGGTGGCAGATGTAGCAAAAACTTAAACAGATATTCAGCAATCATTAGTTTGGGTCATTTAGAGTAGTAATAACCCTTAAAGAAAATAAGCCTTTAGTTGCTCTCCATTTTGACTTGTAAGGATGATACCTCATAAGCTGGATCAGACTTTTTTCTTTTGTTTTGCTGAGGTTTCTTTTTGTTTGTTTTTGTTTTGGGTTTGTTTTTTTTTTTTTTTTTTTTTTTGGGGTTTTTTTTTTTTTTTTTTTTTTTTTTTTTTTGTTAGGTCTTTTAGTGTTATGTAAATGTATGCTGCAATAGCTTTTGCTGCTATTAAAATGGTATTACTAATACCATAATACTCTATTCAGGCTAGGGTATCAATTAAAAAATGAATATGTGATTAAAATAGTGATGGCTGCTGAAAGGAGATCAGTATAGCATACAGAAAAGCTTCCAAGGAAGGTCAATATTTTTTGACTGCATGTTTACTTAATCAGGTTGCTGCATGCAATAAATTTTATATATGTCTAATATAAAACCTGCCCACAATGCACAAATTATGAATCTACGTAGGCTACAAAATACTCAGTAACAAAAAAAATTGATTACTGACTGGAGGAAGGCATGCCTCAGTAAATGTAATGCTTCTGAAATTAGGATCAGCCCATTACAGAATGACCTATATTACAACAAATATAAAAACTAGCTGTAGGATGTTCTTAAAACAAATTTGTGGATGGTAGATGAAGTACTTTGCGGTGCTCTGTTATATATCGTGCAATTTATTTTATATAGTAAAGTGATTATGTCTAGTACTGTGATCAAACTTAACTGTTAAAGCCTCTGTATCCAACATTAACACATTTTTGACAGTTTGTAACAGGTACATAAGCAGAAATGAGCTCTTAGTTACAATCTCTCTCCTAATGCTTGCGTCATTTACGTAGCTGCAGACCTTGTCCAGAAAACCAAAGAGCTCATGCTAGCGTACATACACTACCGATTAGATAGTCTGTCAAACTAATAAACTAGGCACATTTAAGAAAGTTAGGAAAAAAAAGTGGTGCTAAAGAAATGTCTGCATATAAAAGTAACACGAGATGTCTGCTCTGTGGATGTGGCGTTATCTCTCTAATCCCTGGATGTATCCTGTGAAGCTTGAATACAATTAAGACCTGCTAACACAGTGGACATTTTTTTAGCATGAACTATGGGGCTGCAGATAGCATATAAATATAAACACACTTGGTATACTAATGATTGTGAGAATGTGTACACTATTTTTTTTTTTTCTTTTTCCTCCTTTGTTTTTGCAGTTCTGGGGACAATCTGACTGGATATGACACCGCATAGTAGATTTAAACGTTCTGGGTTTTGTTTGTTGTGATGTCCTTGTTTGTGTCTAATTTAGTAAGTTGTTTTTCCCAATGTTTAGTTACGAGTATTGGCTTTGAAAGGATTTTTTCTGTTTTTGGAAAAAAAAAAAAGAAAAAATAGTTTTTTACTGGTTTAAAATTCTTGTTATAATTCTCCCTTTTGAAGTTACTTCTGGGCGGTTTTGTGATATTGGTTTTCCCAGCCCAGGTGTCTTTTCTGTTTTTTTTCATCTGTACAAGACATTTTGTTATGCACTACTTTTTGTATCTAGACAGTTTTCAACAGTCGGCTGATGATTTTTTTTAAAGAAAAAGGCATGCTTTCTGACTGACATGATCTTTTGCAATACCTCAATTTTGAAATATAGGAAAGAAAATGATATTTTCTAAGTAAGTTTATTCAGAAAAATATATATTAATTTAATTCTGCAAGAAAAATGATTTAACAGATGGGTAACTTTATTTTTTTCATGCTTATTTGAGTTTTTTTGAAAATGAAGAAGTTAGAGCTTTATAACTGTAATATTAAAGATCATAGCTAACCTACAGAAATCTACCTAATTATGTGAAAGAAGTAAACCTTTTTGAAGAAATACCCCTCTTTCATGTAGAAAAATACCCCCAGAGAGAAAGAGAGAGAGAGAGAGAGAGAGAGAGAGAGAGAGAGAGAGAAGCTGGAAATTGTACAATATAGCATAATGTTGGATTAAATCTAAAACAAAATCATCATAAAGAGCAGGTGGAAACACAAACTCCATTTGGTGCTGAAAGTTGTGAATAGAAGGTGAAAAAATATTTTCCCTTAATTTGTATATTTATAATCAAGTGTGATTATGCACGACTGACCAGAATTGTGAGAGTTCTTCTGTTTGTATTTTTTTAAAGAGAACTTTTTTTAGTTTATTAAATTATGACATGCTCCCTTTTGTTTTGTAAATGAATGTGCCCCTGAGTTGTTAATATGTTATATTAAAAGAGGGTCCTTCAAAAAAAGTTATTTTTTAAAATACGGAGTTCTGAACTGCAACTTGACTAAGAAGCCCCTGGGTACAACAGGTCCTATTGTGGCCTTTTCTGATGTGAGACTTGAACTAGTCGATTTTTTTGAAGGCTAACCTAACCTCGACTATTTGTTGTTATGTGCAATACTGTTTGTACTGTTTGTATAAAAAAAAAAGAAAAATGAAAAGAAAAAAGGCATAAATCTTTATTGCAGATTTATTTTCATTGCAGACTTTAGACATTGTGATTCACTAAAATCATTTTTCTACTGTCAAATATGTACCTTTTCTTCATGCTGGTATTTTTTCAATAGTAATGTAGCCTTTGTACTGAGACAAATTTTCATTGTTATTTTTAGAAAGATTTTTTGCTAAGAAAAAAATTAAACATATTTACATATTTTTCATTTTTATTTCGTATTTTCTTTAAGGAGTGCTTTCTCAACCATTAATATAGTTGTTTCTGGGAGAGACTTTCATATCTGGTCAATGTCATTAATATTATTTTGTATTTTTACTTGGAATAAATTAATTTTATGATGCTAATTCTTTAAAAGTTTATTTTTTTCATTTTCAGTTATTTTTGAAGCTAAAATCTTTGTAATATTGTTACTAAAGTGTCTAGTTTTTTGAAATGCAAAGCTTTATGTATTAACTTGCTGATGTGGTTTACAATAGTGTGGCAATGATGAAAATGGTTGGTTATGTAAAGTGATTGGAAAATTGTAACAAAGAATTGGGCAATAAAATGACAGAATGAAGCAGAAAAAATGTGATATTTTGAAAAGCCTTTTCCTTTATCAAAATGATTTAGGGAGATAATAGGGATGTCACAGTACCAGTTCGCTGTCTAGATTTCTACACCACCAGTGTTGATGAAATACTATTGCCGTTACAAGGAACGAAATCTATTGAAACAACGGGTTTTTGACCCTGCCCATTCAGCATAATGCTCCATTACTTTTCTCATCACGAACTCAGTAAACTCACTTTTCAGTAGTCTCAGATTGAACCTCCTAAAATATATATTCTTCATTGTATTTTGCCACCGTGTTATTTATTTAATGAAATTGACCCTTTCCTGCACAACTTCCTTCCTGCATACATTTATCAGTGGCAGCGTGGAGCAGACTGTAGGTACCCACAGCGTTTCCCAGCGGAGTTACCGCGCAGCGTTGGCAGCTGCCTAGTTAGTGCAGAGCAATGTATGTCCGTCTCCTGGTAGCAATGCAGTAACCCACATTGCCACCGTGTCTGAACATCTGTTCAGCTTCTTTGTCTTTCTCCGTTCTTCTCTGCCTCTCCTGTGTCTTTGTCCTTTTTTCCTTTGGTATTGGCAACACCAAGTGCCAGCATCAAAACACCTTTCGCTTCACCGCCATTTACATCGCCTTTGTTTCCCTATGCAGCCAGAAGAAACCCCTTCCTGAAGCCAGTGACTCCCTGTTCTGGCACCTGAAACAATCCAGACTAAAACTGGTGTTGCGTAAACAGGGCATACGAGGACTTTCTCTAGACAAAACGATTACTTCAACAAGTTATTGATGACCTTTTGGACTAACTTATGCTAGAGTGTTGGAGTGGCTCATCTGTAACTTGCGGAAAGAAACGTGTCCAGAGTTGGTCTGTTGTGTATCCTCTGTGTGTTCAGTTCTGTAAGTAATGTATAGACTAGATCAAATAGTGAAGTAAAATTTAGACTCAAATTAGGTACTACTGGTTGGAATGTACGCAAATTGCAAACAAAGGAGATTAAGGAGTGAAGAGGGAATAAAAAAATTCCTGCTAAGTGGTACAAAGTTTATTGCTTATATTTCTGCCTACATGCTTGTATTTTATAGCCTGCTAGCAAGGCATGGGCTAAAATAAATTGTATTGCAAATACGCAGTTAGCAAATAACTTTGCTGATTTCACTATCTGTTAGAGTAGTAAAAAAAGAAAAAAAAAAAAGAAAAAAAAAAGAAAAAAAGGCGCTTAACTGGGAAAAGCTCCCATGTTAATATTTCAGTATTGTGACATCTCTACTTGCAAGGTATGAGTGAAAGATTAGTCACAGATTTGTAGAAATGTCTCTTTTGTTTAATCTGGCTTGTATGTAGTTGCTTTTATGCTAGTTTGTATGATGTCAGCTAAACCCTTTTTCTTTTCCTTCCTTCCTGTCTTTTTTTAAATCAAACTTCTTAATCTCTGCTGCTATAGTGTTCTGTCATACCACAAAGTATTTTATATTCATGTTAGTGACTACTCTATACCCCAAATGGGTAGCTGGTCAGAAATCACATTGGTCACATAATTCTGATACGCTCAAATTTACATGAGAAAAAGTTTAGCAGTAAGTGGAAAACCAGGGTGCTAATAAGAGATAATTTTGGATCTTTCTTTTTTTTTTTTTCTTTTTTTTTTTTTTTTCCTGGATGTAGTTCTGTTGGGGTATAAAGTATTAGATATTTGTAATTTACTGTCAAAATAATGGACATAACTTTTAGAGCATTCACAGCTAAGATCTCTGTACTTGTTTTTCAACTAATTTTAAATGTACTGTATCTTTTATTACATGTTCTCTTAGATTGTTTTTGCTAGTAATTCTAACAAGGCTTCTTCCTTTTTGGCTTGGACTAATGCTTGTATGGAACTGCAGTACTGTGACTAAACATGGAGCTCAATGCTGCTATTGCTTACAACTGCTTAAACTTTGTAGTTTGGACTTTATTTTTTTCTGTAATAACTTATTAAATATAGTTGTATGAAGTACTGATATTTGTCATCCTTTGCACATGCTAAGGAAATCTTGGGATATGCGTTATG